CTTTCCCTTTTTTTTTTTTTTTTTTTGTATACACATTTAGAGATCTATAGGTTATAAACCGAATCTCCCTCTGTATTTTCTTTTTCTTCTAAGAATCGAGTCCTTGTGCTGGCAATGGAAATTTCCTTCTCAGCATCCACTCAACTCAATTTATTTTTTTTCAAATTGGGAAAGGCATTTTTCTCTGTAGGTGATTTTTTTTTTTCCGATTCAAACTGAAGATCTCAGGCAACCGCGACGGTGCCGGACCGTACAGCTTTCTCGCCAGATTCTTGTTTTCTGTGACTACGAGTGTTCGAAGAGGAAGATGATGAAGAAGAAGAAGAAGAGCGCCTCCAACTTTTCTCCTTCGCCTCGTCGATTTCAATCTGTTCTTGCCGGCACTCTTTGCTACAAAACGGAGTGTTTCCTCTGCAATACAGTAAAGAAACTATCAATTCTCAGATCGAAACCTCCAAATCAGAACAAATAGACTAAAAAAACTGTTAGATCTAAACATAATTCAACCTACAACCACTTTCCATCACTCTATCAGACCTCAACTAAAAAATACCATACACATCTATTGAGAAGATATTTTGGAGATATATTAGTTAGAATATATCTGAGATATTTAGGGAGTTGTTAGTATAAATTTGATTAATCGTATATTTTATTTATTTACAAGATTTAGTTAGATATATTATTTTTTTCTATTTTTAGGTATTAGTTAATAGTTTGTATCTATTTAAACGTGGTAAACCTGAATGAAGATCATACACTTTTCCAGTTCTATTTTCTATTTCTATTTCTTAACATGGTATCAGAGCATCGATCGTAAATATCAATATTTCCTTTATGGCGGGCTCAGCCAAATCCAGCTTTAAAATTTCGGATGTTGATTTAACACATCCTTACTATATGCATCACTCTGATCAGCCAGGATATTCACTTGTTCCAATCAAATTAAATGGAGCAAATTACCAATCTTGGAGTAAATCAGTTATGCATGCTCTTATTGCCAAGAAGAAAATTGGCTTCATTGATGGCACAATTGAGGAACCGCCCCAAGATGCAAATTCAACCGAATTCGAACTCTGGAATCAGTGCAACAGCATGATAATATCTTGGTTAACTCATTCTGTTGAAGCAGATATCGCTAAAAGCATTATTCACGCCAAGACAGCTCATCAAGTGTGGGTTGATCTTCGCGATCAATTCTCACAAAAGAATGCTCCAGCAATTTTTCAAATACAAAACTCGATAGCAACGATGTCACAAGGAACCATGGCACTGTCAACATATTTCACCAAGCTCAAAGCACTCTGGGATGAACTGGAAGCGTACCGCACACCATTTACGTGTAATCAACGTCAAATACATATTGATCAACGCGAAGAAGACAAGTTGATGCAATTGCTCATGGGGCTCAACGAGTCTTATAAAACGGTGAGATCTAACATATTGATGATGTCTCCATTACCTAATGTGAGGCAAGCTTATTCATTACTTGTACAAGAAGAGATGCAGCGACAGGTAACTTCTGAACCTGCTGAGAATTTCTCGATTGCATCAGCAGTGCATAAGAAAACAACATATTCAAAATTCGCCAAGGACAAATCATGTGAACACTGCAATAAAAGTGGTCATACAATCAATGAGTGTCGAATTCTTAAGTTTCATTGTAAGTTTTGTGATAAAAGGGGACATACAGAAGATCGGTGTCGACAGAAAAATAATTCTACAAGGACAAGACAAGTCAATCAACACAATCATCGTGGATACCGATCATCTGCAAATATGGCCGATGTTTCACAGTTGAATACAGAAGAACAGTCACCTAATTCCATTCCAAATTTTTCTTCTGAGCAATTACGACAGATAGCACAAGCCTTATCTGCAATCAATCAAAACCCTTCTGGTAATTCTGACAATCACATCAATGTTGCAGGTTTGTTTCCCATATCTACATTATCTGTTAACTCTGCGAGTTCTAATTCATGGATTCTCGATAGTGGAGCTACGGATCATATAGTATCAAAATCTTCTGTTATGACTGATCCAAAGGCTGCCATCATGTCTACAATAAATTTGCCTAATGGAGAGACAGCACGTGTGTCACATACTGGCAATATTTCCCTTAGCCCTAACCTTAAGTTAAACAACGTTTTATGTGTGCCTTCATTCAATTTAAACCTAATGTCGATCAGCAAACTTACCAATAACTTGAAATGTTATGTCACCTTCTATCCTGATTCTTGTGTTATGCAGGACTTGGCTACGGGGAAGATGATTGGCTCGGGTAAACAATTTGGAGGTCTCTATCATATTTCTTCATCTCCAATCAAATCTTCAGCTCATCAAGTATCTCAGTCATCTGATTTGTGGCATTTACGTCTAGGTCATCCTTCTTTTTCTCGTTTTAAATTTCTAGCTGATCAATTGCATCTTAATAATGCGAGTTATTCTCATAATTGTAGTATCTGCCCGTTAGCAAAACAAACTAGGTTGTCTTTCCCAAGAAGTTCAATAACAACCCATTCTGCCTTTGATCTGATACATTGTGATGTTTGGGGACCACATAAAATTCCTACCCATTCTGGTTTGCGTTTTTTTCTCACTATTGTTGATGATTTTACTCGATGTACTTGGGTTTTTCTAATGCAACATAAGTCAGAAGTACATCATTTGTTAATGAACTTTGTTAAATTTGTTCAAACTCAATTTCATACTACTATCAAGATAGTTCGATCAGACAATGGGACTGAGTTCCTATCTTTGCAACCATTCTTTACTTCTTGTGGTATTGAATTTCAGCGCACTTGTGTCTATACTCCACAACAAAATGGAGTTGTAGAACGTAAGCATCGCCATATCCTAAATGTAGCTAGGTCTCTTCTTTTTCAGTCACAGGTTCCACTTAATTTTTGGGGAGAGTGCGTTTTAACGGCTGTTTATCTTATAAATAGAACGCCATCACCAGTGTTATCTAACAAGACACCCTTTGAAGCACTCTACAAACGATCACCTACATTTCATCATCTTAAAGTTTTTGGTTGTAAATGTTATGCAACTATAGTACATCCTAAGCAAAAATTTGAACCTCGGGCAATTCCTTGTGTTTTCGTAGGATATCCTTGTGGTCATAAAGGTTACAAATTGTATGACATGCAATCTCACAAATTCTTTATCAGCCGTGATGTTAAATTTTGTGAAGATGATTTTCCTTTTTCATCAGCTTCACAGACTTCGACATTAGCTCCTTCGACTCCTGTTGTTCCACTTCATGATCCATCCTACTTAAGCACCCATCCTCCACCTTCCATTCCTCCTTCACCTCCTATCCCTTCACCTACTACTTCGTCGTCTCCTCCACCTTCTCCAGATTTGCCCACTGATTCCAATCCTATCCCGCCTGATACATCAGCTCCACTCCGACGTTCTACTCGCACTAAACAGCCTCCAGCTTGGCATAAGGATTATGAGATGTCTTCTGGAGCCAATCATTTAACCTCTAGCTCAAGTCCCAGCACTGGCACCAGGTATCCCCTTCATCATTACCTTTCATTCTCTCGTTTTTCTCCTACTCAACGTGCTTTTCTAGCTCTTATTACATCCCAGACAGAACCTAAAACCTATGACGAGGCAGTTGGCGACCCTTTATGGCAGCAGGCTATGAATGATGAAATTGCAGCTTTGGAACGTAATCATACATGGTCTCTCGTTCCTCTACCACCTGGTCATAAAGCTATTGGTTGTCGCTGGGTGTACAAAATTAAATACAACTCTGATGGTTCTGTTGAACGTTATAAAGCTCGACTTGTAGCAAAGGGATACACTCAGATTGAAGGTATTGATTACACAGAAACATTTTCCCCTACAGCAAAACTTACTACACTTCGTTGCTTACTCACGGTTGCTGCTGCTCGAAAATGGTTCACCCATCAGTTGGATGTTCAAAATGCCTTTCTCCATGGTAATCTAGACGAGGAAGTTTATATGTCTTTACCACCAGGTCTTCGCCGACAGGGGGAGAATACAGTATGTCGGCTCCATAAATCTCTTTATGGATTAAAACAGGCTTCTCGCAATTGGTTCTCCATATTTTCTACAACTATACAAAATGCAGGCTACACTCAGTCCAAAGCAGACTACTCTTTGTTTACCAAGAGTAAAGGTACTTCTTTCACTGCAGTTCTAATCTATGTTGATGATATTCTGTTGACAGGCAATGATCTCAAAGAAATGCAATATCTCAAGACTAGTTTACTCCAGAAATTTCTTATCAAAGATTTAGGAAATTTGAAATATTTTCTAGGCATTGAATTTTCTCGGTCTAGAAAAGGAATTTTTATGTCTCAAAGGAAGTATGCTCTAGACATCCTTCAAGACACAGGCCTTACACGAGCACGTCCAGACAAATTTCCTATGGAGCAAAATCTGAAACTTTCTTTAACTGAAGGAGAGAAATTGAACGATCCAAGTAAATACAGACGGTTGATTGGTAGATTAATATATTTGACTGTCACTAGGCCTGACATAGCTTATTCAGTTCGTATGCTTAGCCAATTTATGCATGAACCAAGAAAACCACATTGGGAGGCAGCTCTTCGAGTTCTGAGGTACATCAAAGGCACTCCTGGTCAAGGACTCCTACTGCCATCTGAAAACAATTTAAGATTACAAGCATATTGCGATTCTGACTGGGGTGGTTGTCGAACTTCCAGACGGTCTATTTCTGGATTCTGCATTTTCCTTGGAAATTCAATTATTTCTTGGAAGTCTAAAAAGCAGATTAATGTGTCCAGATCATCAGCAGAAGCCGAGTATCGAGCTATGGCAAATACTTGTTTAGAGTTAACTTGGTTAAGATACATTCTTCAAGACTTGAATGTTCCACTGTCCGAACCAGCATTATTATATTGTGATAATCAAGCAGCATTACATATAGCAGCCAATCCAGTTTTTCACGAACGTACGAAACACATTGAAATAGATTGTCATATAGTTCGAGAAAAGTTACAAGCTGGAATCATCAAACCATGTTATATTTCGACCAAAATGCAATTGGCAGATGTTTTTACTAAAGCTCTAGGAAGACAGCAATTTGACCTTTTGAAGGACAAGTTGGGTGTGATCGACATACACTCTCCAACTTGAGGGGGAGTATTGAGAAGATATTTTGGAGATATATTAGAATATATCTGAGATATTTAGGGAGTTGTTAGTATAAATTTGATTAATCGTATATTTTATTTATTTACAAGATTTAGTTAGATATATTATTTTTTTCTATTTTTAGGTATTAGTTAATAGTTTGTATCTATTTAAACGTGGTAAACCTGAATGAAGATCATACACTTTTCCAGTTCTATTTTCTATTTCTATTTCTTAACAACATCCGATCTAAGCCTGATTCGACTATACTCCAGCCTCAAATTCTCAGTAACCAGACGAAGAACTCTCGATTAAAACTCAACAAAAACAGAAGCTCTTCAGGCAATGATAAATTGAACGGACCTGTACATGAAGATATCGGAGTTACGTCCGAGCGGTTTCCGGCAAAGGGAACAGGCCTCTAGGAAGTGAGGTTCGTGGAGAAGGAAATCGGCGCAGCCGGCGTAGAACAGCGGCACAGTTCTCATAGTAACAGAAGGTGAAGAAACTAAAAGTTGCTAAAAAAATGGCCGGAACTGAGCAAGAATTCGAGAGCTTTTAGAGCTAGGGCAGAAGATACGATGAAGAAAATGAGAGGAAATGAAAAGCCGGGGGGAGGAAGAAAGGTTGGGTACTTGGGTCAATTTATAATTGCTCTGCCAGAAGGTGGTGGAATCCCCTGCCTCGCGGACTACGATAACAAGATGATTTGGACCAAATGAACAAATTTCTTCAATCATTTCATCAAATTAATTTATAATTAATTATTATTTTTTTAAATTCAAGTGATAATATAAATACATAATAATAATTAATTACAGCTGAAACACAGCCATCGATTCAAACTCGAATTTTGAAAATTATTATTATTATTATTATAAAAATAAACTCAAATTTACTTAAATAAAATAAATATCCTAAAATTTATGAAAATGAGTATATAATTTGTTTTCTTCACTCGTTCGAGAAAGATCGAAAAATGTGAGAAAACAAATAAACCACTTATATTAATAATAATAAAAAATTGTGGCTATCAAAATTATTTTCAATATAATTTTAATTCATGGATTTAAATAAATTTTGTACAATGTACAAACCTAATTAATTAAATTATAAAATATATACAATTATTAATTTTAGTTTTTTTTAAGCAATACAATCCGTGGAGTATAAATTACATGGATTTTGATTGGTTACAGCACGCGGAGCAGTGGATAATTGCCCAAGAAAATAAATAAATAGTTAATGGATGGTTTTCCCTGTTCCGGGGTGAACATCATTGGCCATACATAAGTGCATGCATCCTTTTCCCAAACCCGATGGGCCAAAATAAAATAAAATAAAACTTTATTTATTTATTTATTTATTAATTTTAGAATTCGGTCCTCCTTCTTTTTCATATTCCACGTTTCGCCCCAAAAGTTACTATATTTATCGTCAAGTGGGGGCGTGCGCATTTATATAAAAAAAAAAAAAAAAAAAAAAATCCATTATTCTTTTTATTGCATAATATTCCATACTCATGGGGTATTTTTAAATGGGTTGAAAATGCCTATTAATGTAAATACAATAAAATAAACATTTTTTAATTCAATGAATAATATTGTTCATTTTGTTATTTTCAATTATGCACGAGTTATTAATATGCTAATAGATTAACATTAAGGTATATTATAATAAAGTCTCGATCATTAACAAACATTTTATTTTTATATCCATTAATCTGTCAATGAATTTTGTGTACTTGAACAAAAGTTAGGTTAAACAAATGAAAGGGACGGGTTATCTTTTTCAACCCTGGATTACTTGACTGAGTTATCATATGAGTTTCGAGCAAACAGAATAAACAGTTATAGAATTAGACTGGTTCTCTAAATATTGTTCGGAATATTAATCAATATATTAACGAATAATCATCAAATTTAAAAAAAAAAAAAAATGAAAGAATAATATATTTGGATGTATAGTTTATTTTATTTTAGGTTAGAAGTATTATTCAAAGGTTCCTTCTCCGGTGGAACAAGTATAACAAACCATGATGTATTTAACAACGACATAATGTTTATAAAATTAATAAATTTTTATTTAATAATTGAGACAGCTGGAATTTTGCAATTAATTATAGCTTATCCCGCAAGTTAATATCTCTTACTGTAAAGATACTCACATTACTCTACGTAGTCAATAATAAACAAATAAATATATCCATCAAAATATTATTTTTAAATTTTTTAAATTTAGTCCTTCAAAATTATAGTTTTGACCAAATTTAATTATTTGAATATATTTTTATATAAAGAAAATAGTGACTATTTTTCTATTTAATTTAATATTTATTAAAAGTATTATAAATAAAATTAAATATTTGAAAGTATAATATTTTTAATATAATATATTAAGTAAAATAAATTTAACAATAATTTATTAGATTTGTTTTAAACCTAATAGGTATAATTAACATAGTAAATAACGATTTGTTAGTAAATAATAATAAATATATATTAAAATAAAATGGATATAATGAATGACGTGTCCGAAAAATATCATATCACGAGTAATAATTAGTGTATCGTGAATTTCAATGTTTTAAACGGTATATTTTTAAAAGAAAGTAATACTTTGAATGATTTTTTTTATTATTTTAAAAAATAATTTAGGACTTTGAAATTAAATTGATATTGTGATGTGAGGGACTCGATACAATATTAGGATAAAATCTTGGAAAATTATAGTGTCAATATCACGAATGAATGTGATAATAATAAATACCAAGAAAATGTAGGCAAAAAGAGGTATTAACATAAAGTTGGAGGCTCTTTTTGCAAATAAAATGAGCTTAGCTCATTTCAATTCTAGTTTACCCTTATGAAATCCATAAATTACAACAGAGCCATCGCTTGAGAGAAATTTATAAAGTTGTTGAATTTGGAAGGTAATGGCATTGAAGTAATTATGTGGAAAGAGATGGGAGAGAAATGGAAAAAAGAGTCTCGACTTATCCGAATAACTTCTTTCAGCCGTTTCGTTCCTTAAATGGACGGTGGGCCCAAAACGACATAATTGGTAACTAGAGGGGCAAAAAGGTAAAATGAGCAATGAGAGAAAAAAAAAGTGGATGGAATCAAAACGAGGGTTTGGAGATGACTGGGTGGTGGGACCCAGAAAGAGAACGAGAGATACGATAAAAGGCCAGCAATGCAGTGGGCCCCACCTGACCCCCCGAGCCTCGCTGGCTCGGTTACCAAGGTCCTTGTCCTGCGGGGCCCACACCCATCTGCCCGTATCCATTCGGGCTGAAGCGGTCTGTAGTCACCCTCCCCAATAATAAGCTGCCAGTTACACGTGGCAATGATTCGAGACGGCTGGACATGCAGATTCCGGGAATCCATGAAGCAGAAGATCAACGGTTAAGATTTCGCCACGGTCGAGAGCATGGACTAATAAATAAAGAACTTAAATTATTAAAAACGTATGATTATTAATTAATATGAGATCGGGAAGATTATATTTCATGTGAAGTTCGAAAATTAAAAATTCAAAAATACTTTTTTAAGTCAATGTGGTAATATTTTTTTAATAATAGCGAATAATATATGTCCACGTGTAGCCTTGTGATAAGGGCATTTACGTTTCAATTCTCAATAAATTTTAAATTAAATAAACAATAATTGCAAAAGACAGGTGGGGTTTCAATGGTACAAGACATTTATATTTAAATGTCTCGACAGCTTGTTTTCTTTGTTTTTTTTAAGCATATAATAATTTAATTGTATTTTATAATATATAAATATATATATATATATATATATATATATATATATATATATATAACCAGTTTATTAGAGAGAGCTGTGTTTCCTTTTAAATACTTTAAACTATAGTGGTGTATTTGGAAATTCTGAAAATAATTCATCTGGTCATTCGTAAAGCAATTTTAAATATAGAAATTTATGTTTATTCTATTAATTTCGATTAATTTGAAGGTGAATGTTTAGCTATATAATCTCCACATTTAATTAATTATTTTTAATTAAAATAAATAATCGAAAAATGTATGGTCAAAGAAGAATATTTATGGATTTATATAGCTGAGTCATATAAAGCTAAAAATCTTAAGAAATCTAAATATTTTGTTTAAATTCTATTAGCAATTGAATTGTTCAGACTATGATGGGCTCCAAGTTGTCTATGTAATTAAGAGGCCCAAATGGCCCAACAGGCCCAGTAGGAAGCCCGGTTCGATTTTACAGCAAGTGGGCTCAACCAAAGCCCAACAGGAAGCCCACGTTCAATTTGGGTCAACATTACAAACTATTGTTTTGTTAATTTAGATTGGAAACTATTATCGAATCCCAACTGCCCCTGTAAAATATATATATTATATATATATATTAATTTATTTATTCAAGATTATTATAATTTCTGTATAAGGCATGAATCAAAAAGGGCCTTTCAAAAAATTTCCATGTTTGTGAGGTTGGTGGCACCAGATTATGAGCAGCTACAAGGCCAAGCAAAAAACCATCCTACTATGATTATTTGTGAATGACTTCAAACTCAACGCAGAAAGGTAAGCCTAAGATGATGGTCGGGTCGAAGACGACTCAAACTGTCAATGAGGCAGTGTTATGGAGGAACATACAATTGGAAATAGATAAACAGAAGGGTGGCCAGTTTACGAGCAGAGGAAACTATCCTGTAATGGCAGCGTTCAAGGCACTGTGCACGTCGATGCCGATTTGGGCTTCGGCTTTCTCCAAGTCTGTTGAGGCAGAATTTAACTTCTGGGTGAATTCAGCAAGACCCTTCTGTACTTGGCTGGCGTCGATTTGCTCTACGGGTACAGCTTCAACAGCGATTATGTCAGCGTACGAGTTTCCATGGATGAATGTGAAACCACTGCTGACAAAGTACTTTTTTGTGTCGTTCCCTTCATGCACTGATAGAACCCCTGGCTTCAACTCTGCTATTGTAGCAACATGACCAGGAAGAACACCCATTTGCCCAGTTGTTGCTGGAATGATGACCATGTCAACCTGTTCAGAACGGGGGGAGAAGAAACTTTTGAGACGAGCAATAGATGATCTGACTGCAAATTTTGGGTTCCATTGCAATTTGGATATTTTATCATAGCATAGCAGTTCTAAAGATGAAAGTGTGTAGCCTTCGACCCATTAGAATCTACCTTTAAGTAGATATTGTCCACTTTAGACTTCTCCTTAAGGTTTTTCAAACGCGTCTATTAGAGAGAGATTTTCACACCCTTATAAAGAATGTTCCGTTCCCCTCTCCAACCAATGTGGGATCTCACAATCCACCCCATTCGGAGTCCACCATCTGGTGTCTGGCTCTACTATAATGAACAGGGTTCTTGTCACTAGTAGCCTCTCGTGGATTTTTAAAACCGACGAGATAGAATATGTAGCTACCCGTTGGAGGATATTTCCCCAATAACTAAGCACCAAAGACCACCTTAATTTCTGCACAGCTTGATCTAAATCTTAACATTACTGACACAAGCATTGGGTACAACAAGCCTAGGCTACCGGAGAAGCAGATTTAGCAGTTCTTTTTACTGCATAACGACACTTCGAGGGTCCTTGATCATGAGAGAAGAACGTTACATTTGCAGTAATTGTATGATCTGATCTGAGCATCACCATGTCCATGAGTATAAAAAGAGAAATGCCAAACATCCTCCAGTTTGATCAGACAGTATAGGGAAACGAATGCCATAGACCAAATTCAAAACAAAAACAAGAAAATCAAATCCATGATCCGCACTCATTATGTAAAGAAATTCATCTTTCACATCGAGAGTGGAGAATACAATAAACGGGCTTCCTGCGACCTAAGCCGGATAAAATCCATTTCTAGTTCAGCATTTGCAACCACGGAATTGAAATTCTAACTTTACGTTGATATTTCCTCCTAAACATTCGATTGCAATTATGACGAAGGTTCAAAGCAATCAAGGACTCATAATTTCACATAAAAATTGGTACTACTAAAAACTAATCAAATATCAAAACAAGAAAATGAAAAATTGACAGAAAATCAAATCAAAACAAATCAAATACAGCAAAAATGCATAATCATACACAATATTCAACGCCTGAAACACGTACAAAAAAGAAAAAAAAAAAAAAAAAAAAACTCATTAACAAAACAAATTTCGAGGACTAACCTCTTTGGCCGAGAGCTCGGAGGCATAGGGAAGCACGAAATTGACGGTGAGCTTACTAGGGATGGAAGAAGGCGTAGCAGGTCGAGGAGACATGAAAGAGAGAGGAGTTTTAGGAGGATCAATATTAGGGATCATCTTCTTCCAGGCGGCGACAAAGGCATCGTCGGTGGAAGGGGCCGCCGGCAGATCGGCGGAGAAGGATCTAGTCCTTGCAGAGAAAAGAGAACGGGCCAAAAGGCTGGAAGCTCGTCGGAACATGGTGAGGAGTGTAGTGTGTCGCTCGGCTCTCGCAAGGTCGGAGAGAGATGAAGAAGGAGAAAGAGAACTGAAAGGGTCTCGCTGGCGCTGTTTGTAAGCTGAGAAAATGTCGGAACTGCCGAAACCATTGCGGATCTAAGCCACATAGACAGCCTTCTTTCACTATTTTAGTGGGCTTTCAATACTTCTTTTGGGCCCATAATGAGTTTCCTCTTGTGGGCCTATTGGGCTTTGGGCCCAACAGGAGGTTTCTTCTAAGGACCTTTTTAGGATAAGAGATACAAAAAATTGGAGGGGTCATAAGTTTTATTTTTATTCTTGATTTTTAAAATTTTATTTTTTAAAAAAATATAAACGGAGAGTTTATTATTAAAATAAAAGGAAAATTATGACATCATTTAGAGTATCCGAGCAAAATTATTTATATAAATTATTTTAAATATATTTTAAAAACTGAAATAAATTATGTCGTCGTAAATTTCACGCACACCTCTAATTCTTATATATCGTTCAAACGTCAAATTCCATAATTTATTTTAATTAAATAAATAAATATATATATAATATAGTTGCATGGTGGTGGGTTAGTTTGACCATTAAATTGTGTGGGCAATGGGCATCAAATTTGAGTTGGTATAGCAATTTCACATTAATATTAAATTGATAAGACATTGGAAATGAAGGACATATGTTAGAGGCTAGGGGAACTACCTACCTAATGCTATTCTCTTTTCGAACAATCTAGTGTTATACGATACAAATTTTGACACGTGGCACGTCATTTAAAGAAATAAATTTTATCGATGGGTCGGTTGGGTTTTGCTAAATGTCGAGTTGGATTGGTATTATACCGTACGAGCTCGTATTAAATCTTAACACGTGGCATGTCGCTTAAAATAAATAAATTTTATCGATAGATCAATCGGGTTTTGTTAAAGGTCGAACTGGATTGGTGCAGTACCGCCTAAAATCTTATTAAATCTCGACACGTGGGGCATTATCGATCATTTTATAGGTAAAAATTATTTAAAAAGAAAAATGATATTAGAATGTCTTTGGTGAACGCCCATTGTACTTATAACCAATATGATAAACATTGATTTTGGTGAACTAATGGATAATGTTGGTTTTGACTATTAAACCCAAATATTTAAGGGATTTGTAGTGAAAATTCCGCATATCTTTGTCTGTCCTACGTGGAAACTTCTTATAATATTTATTTTTTTTTTATTTTTTCCTTTTAATTCCAAATGATTAAAAGTATGTAAATTTGTTATAATTGTGTTCCAACGTTTTTGTTTACCATTGACACAAGAAAAAAAAAAGATCGAACTTGTTTGGGTCGTTACGGTCCTGATTGTGGATGAAGTGGCATCTGTCTCGACCCTTTTTAGGGTTTGACGTTAAACTTGTCTTTCCTTGGATCGGAGAACGTCAAACTCTGAACGGGCTGCTAGGCTTCACCTTTGATATTAAGGAGTTCGAGAACACGAGAGAATGAGCTTTCATTCTTAGAACTGCCTTGTTACTCGGACTCCCCTCTTAAAGATACACGCAGGATACGAGAAAAAGAGCAAGTCAAAGTAGAGTCTCGTATAATCTTCTCATCTTAATTTCATTTCTTTTACATTTTTACCTAAAATAAAAAAGAAAAAAAAATTAAAAAAAATATTAAACATTAAATATTAAAAAAAAAAAAAAAAATTAATAGTTTAAGGTAAGAAAAGGGAGACATGGGAGGAGTGGCGATGAAGCAATGGAATACACAGAATCCCAAGTGCGTGGAAATGGGAAACAAAACAACATTTTTGATCTGTCAAAATTCCATTTTATTATTATTATTATTATTATTATTATTATTATTATTTAATTTTCAACGCAGGTAATGATGAGTTTATGGATTAATTTTTTCACTAAATTAAGAGAATAAGAATCCTGGATATACGCTTTTATTTGAATTACTTTATTATTAATCATTTTTCTTTCCTCTAATTAATCATTTCTAAGTTTCAAATTCAACCCATCTCATTTACTCCCGTACACTAACACGTCAACTAATAAGGTTTTAAAACGTGTCTATTAGAGATAAGTTTTCTTACCCCTAATAAGGAATGTTTCGTTCCTTTTCCAACTGATACGAGATTTTACAATCCATCTGTTTAGGGACTCAGCATATTTACTGGCTAGTAGATATTGTCATTTTTGGACTTTTTCTTCTAAATTTTTCTTCGAAGTTTTCACAAGAAATGTTTCGTTTCCCTCTTCAACCAATATTGATTTTCACGGGAATGAAAAAAGTTTAAGGAAAGATAATGATGGATTACAATCTTAATAATGGGATTAATTTTATTATTATCTTCCTAATTATCCGCTTGATCGATATTACCTCTTTATATTTATATATTTATTTACTTTAATTACAATAAAAGAAATTAATTGAGAAAGGATTAGGTGCGGGCATGTGTAGGGTGAAACCATAGGGGCGCATTTATTATTCACACCTATATTTTATTTAATTAAAAATAATGAACATTGGCAGGTGTGAAATTAAATTAACCGTATTAAATGCTACACCACCAAATAGACCAAAAAAATGAGTTAAAACGGGGAGTTTTATTACTTCATATTATTAAAAAAAATTGAGTCTAAAAAACCTACGTGTAATTAATAATTAATAAAAATTAGTATTTTAAAGCTGATTTTATTTTTAAAAATATTTTGATTATTTTTTAAAGATATACTTTTGATTATCTTACTAAACATTATAACAGCTTTGAAAAATACAAGTAATAGACTACTTCTTGTTCACTCAAAAATATTCCAAAGAAGTGTGAATAAAACAAACTCATATACCAAATTAATTTTATTTTTAAAATATTATATCATATATAAATCAAACGAGTGAATGAAATAATTCTTAGTGCACTCGATCATCTCTTTGAACGATGATATTTATCTGTCGGGGGAATCCAATCATTTAAAGAATAATAGAATTTTCGCGTAATTATTTTTTTATTAATTAAAATCTTTAATACATTTTCATTTAAAATTTTATCTCTAAATTATAAGATTGTAAAAATATATATTAAGATTAATTTTTATTATTTTTTTTTATTTTTTAGGAAGGTAATTGTTCAAATTAAAAGTTGACAATGAGCTATATTAAATTTTATATGCATGTGAGTTTTACAAATTTCACTAAATTCAATAGAACAAAATTAAAGGGGAAGAAGTCAAAAATTGAAGTTTTTGTTTTTTTCTTTTATAAAAACAAATCTGAAAAACACTAGATTAAAATATAATAATATGTTAATTTATATATTTTAAATAAATATTAAATTTATTTATTTATTATTAATTGTTATTACTATAAATTTTGAAAACGTATTTTAAATAAGTGTTGTTTTTTAAAAAAAATAAATTTCAATAAAATGTAAGTTGGAATAATTAGATTTAAAATTAAATATTTAATAATATATATGAATTAAAGAAAATTAGCAATCATTTTCCATCCGACTCACTCGCCTCTCCAAAAAAAAAAAAATAAATAAAAATTACGTGTCACTTGTTTTTCTAAATCCATTTCTCACGTGCATCTCACGTGTATTTCTCTTTGATCCCGTAAGGTTAAGGAAACCGAGAGACCTGCCCAAAAAAACTGACCGCTGCATTTATACTGTTTCCATCTCCTCCATTTTTGTTTTCTCTCTAAAACAAGAAAAATTGCTGCAATGGCTTCTCCACCGCCGCCGTTGCCGGACGCCTTTGGAGGCTCCATCATTGACTACGTTTCATCCTCTCCTCCTCTCCCTTCGGCGACGGTCGTGAGTCACTCTTCTTCTTTGAAGAATCTGAGTCCGAGCATCTTAATCATTCTTACGGTTCTCGCTTTGACTGCTTTTGCTTCGGTGATTCTTTGCCTCGTTCTTCGATACCTTAACCGGCGATGTCTTCTCCGCCTCTCTGCCGTGCCTGGATCGTCGTCGACGTCTTCGTCGTCGTCTGTTTCTAGGCGCCACATCATTCCGGTAGAGCAAAGTGCTGTTCGATGTACCAATTCATTCTCTCCGATCGACTCGCTTCCTCTGTTCTCTTTCTCCTCCGTCACGCGCCGTTCTTCAACTGCCGTAGCCGATTGCGCCGTTTGTTTGTCGAAATTTGAGGCAGAGGATCAGCTTCGTCTTCTTCCTCTCTGTTGCCATGCCTTTCACGCGCAATGCGTCGATACCTGGCTTCAATCGAACCAGAGTTGTCCTCTTTGCCGCTCCGCCATTTTCGCCTCCGAATCCGACGTAATGAAGGCATCTATGGCATCCTACGCCGCCGAAGGTCGCGGCGGAGACAGTTTCAGGCTCGAGATTGGCAGTATTAGCCGCAGACAGATCCCTTCCGAGTCCGGCGAAGGGAGGAGGTCATATTCGATAGGATCGTTCGAGTATTTCGTGGAAGAAGATTCTGAAGTAAACTTCACTCATGCGCACCGGAGAAGCGTCTCCGATAAGGAAGACATCGAAGCTCCCGTATCGGCAGTGTCTACAGAGCAAAGCCTAGCAGCGGAAGTCGGCTCGGGAAGAAATTGGCTGAAGGACTACGTCGACAGGCTCTCCAATTCCGTCTCTTCTCGTGCACTGTCATTCCGAGGCTCCGGCAGGTTCTTCACTGGAAGTAGCCGTCGGAGTGAGGTAACCGTCGTGGGAGATTGGGAACAGGAGAACAGTCGCGTAGGAGAGGAAATAAGCGAGCTATTCCGATGGTTTTCAGGGGTATGATCGTAATTATCACATCTAGTTACCCTACAACGCAGAGGATTTGCAATTTTGGTTATCGGCGGCCGGTACGCAATTTTTCCTTATTGAAAACGGACGGTCAAGATTCCTCCTTCTTTTTGATCCTTTTGATTATGTCAACGGCTGAGATTAAAGCTGGTAATAATACACCAAAGATCACTTAGTTGGCATTTAATCAAAAGCTCAAAAAGATTGGTGAGATTTTTCTGTTCCTTCTTTCCTTCTACCTCGTTTGGCTGAGATTTAAAGTAAATAAAAGTTTCCCATCGTGGCAGTGAAGCCAATAAACAACAGTGAACTCATATTTCATGAAAACCGCTAGCAGATCAGGGGCCTTTTTGGCAATACACATCTGAATTTTTATTTTTATTTTTATTTTTAAATTTTCCCATACATATATAAATTCCATTTCTTCTTTCTTTCTTTCAATTATTTCCTGAATTAATTATGGTGTAAAATGTTGTTGATATGTAATGAATGATTTAGTGTACTGTGAGAAACACTGATGGAAATGAGCGCAATATGGTATGTTGTCCCAATTCCTTAGGAATCATTGCTTTGCTTGCTTGTGGAAATTGTAAGCCAAAAAAGAAAAGAAAATAGGAAAGTGGATTGCTGAAAATAAAAAGAGGCCAAGATTATAGGTACCGCCCTGGGCTTTCTCAGATTCTTGCTACTTCTATGAGCTAAACAAAAATCTCTCTTTCTCCATTTCTCCATTTTTTGTTTTGAGAATGTTTCATGTTTTCTATCATAGGTCTTATTTGTATACACATTCTTCTTATTTCTTCACAAATACAGATATTCTTGGGCATAAAAAGAATTTTAGGTTCTATTCAAATCAAAAGGTTTAATCTCTAAACTTAATAAATTTTAAAATTAGTTATAAGCTATAAATTTAAAATTTTGAAGAATAAATGAATTGAATTTTGAAAAGAGTATGAAAAGAGTCAGAATAATTTAAATCAATAACAGATGGTACAAATGAATTGAATTTTGGGAATTAAATTTGTCACATGCAAAATTCACTTTTACGTTTTCCAAAAAAAGAAAAATGAATGTTGCCATGTACGGATTTCGTCTCTATGTAATTCCAAAAACTAATTAATTAGAAGTAGAAAATAAACCAAATACATTATTTAAATAACCATTAAAGTTAAATAATAAATAAATAAATAAATAAATAAAATGGTTGACAAATTCATTGTCAAAGGGTTGAAAATAAAAAAAGTAAAATAAAACTCACATCTCAGCCACTAATTCTGCTGAGTCATGTGAGATTGGCTTTCCAAATTTCTTTTATATTTCAAAAGTTATATTGAAGAATTTTTCATATGATAGGATTTGAACATTTCTAAATGAAAATATTTTATTGCTTATTAAAGCCAAAAAAAAAAAAAATAATAATAAAATAAAATAAAATAAAAAGTGGAAATATGAATGATTTGGTGACTGGTTTTTAGAAGGTGAAGGGGAAAAAACAGAGTAGTTGAATTGGGACAGTTAGTTTGGATTTGGAAAACAATCCAAGGCGGCTACCTGTTTTCATCTGCACATTCCTCAGCTTCTAATTCCGTATTTTTTTTTCTCTTAATTTATAATGCCAAAAATGGAGTTTCTAATTTCTATTCTCGACAATAATAATATACAACCAAAAAAGAAAAAAAAAAAAGGCAGGATTATTTCTATTTCTAGTAGCCGATTTTTTAAATAAAATGAATGTGACCCTAATTTAAGTAGCATAAAATATAAGAAATAAAAAATACTAAAAAAAAATTGTAATTAAGGATGTTTATAAATGAAGTATTATTGAGGTTAGTATTTATTTATTTATTTGTAAGGATCATTATCTAATGATGTATCGATCCCTTACCCAAAAAAAAAAAAAAAGAACCTTAGAAAGGTTGTATGATGAACAAATCCACATGCAAAATTGGGAATGAAGTATGGAAGTCAATTGGTGGAATTTTGCAGATATTCTTAATTAAGAACCGTTCAAATTTAAAACTGAATATTAAAATTAGTTAGATCTGTGGGATTTGACCTGGATTTTGTTAATTGTTTTATACAATCAAATGAATTATGGTTTTAATCTTAATCATATAATATCTTTTTGGATCAAAACAATAATTTGAATTACATAAAGTCTTTTAAGTTTATGGAATCCTATTATTCCTAAATTTTTATGAATCAAACTATCCAAAAATCAATAATTAGACCAAAAATCATTTATTTGAAAAGGGTTTTACATTCTCTAGGGGGAAAAAGTATTAAAAAAAATCATTTATTCTTGTTTTTCTTCAGTTTTGTTTTGAAGGTTGAGTAATTTTTAAAATATAATTTAAGGTAAGGTATTCTTCCTAATGAGAAGAACTGATATCTTTATACGGATCACACAAAGCAATAAAGACAAAAACAAAGATCAGATATTGCAGAAGCAACAAGCAAATGAGAATCAGGGAAGAGAACTAATCTGAGTGAAAATATCTGATGTTGATCTGATTGTAGTGTTGGAGGAAGCTTCTCTACTCAACCACAGCTAACAAATCACCAGCTTTGCAGAAACAGTGCTTAGAATCTGTGCCCAAATCCACCTGACAAACCACCACCAACATTCAAAATCAATCTTAAAAAAATAATGTGTTAGTGTTCGTTGATTGAATATAGCTCAATAGATAAAATAATAATTACACTCATTCAAATATAGTTCATTCGCATTTGTTTGCCATATTAACAACAAATATAAGAAAGTTCTAACTTTAGTTTGTAAGAGTTTGAACTAACTAAAGTACGACTAAGAGGCTACTACGGCTGCATCTTGGTCCCCGAGTATAGCTCATTGCTTTCATTTCGAAATCCGAAATGGAGAGAAGCAGAAGGAAAAATAATGTGTAGGGAAAGCAGAAAGATGAACATGAATAGACTTTATGACATGAATAAGAGGGTCAGCTAACACGCAAGATACAACTTAGAAGCTAAGACTTCCAAGGATGCATCGCCAAACCATTCATATTTCCTACAAAAGCATCTCTAGTAACAGTCCCATACGGTGATTGATGTAAGACTTATAATGTAAACCAACCAACCCTATGACCAGATTTTTTGAGCCAAGACCTTTTCGACATCCAATTCTAAGAGGAATGGTGCATAGACAAACTCAATTCAAACAAATTTATAATCCATACTAAACCTATGATCAGATTTCTGAGAACAAGTTTTTTTTTTTTTTTTTTTCCACTTTTAACAATCAAAGATATGGTTAAAAAGCAACATCCATCCGCATTCTTGATTGCAGCACATTTGTGGTATGATACCCAATAATTGAAAAGCAAAGCTGGACCATAAATAATTGAGAGAATATTCAAGCCAATATGATGACTCCACCAAACCAAACGACTTACCTGACAAGCATTTATATCGGATATAATAACTCGGAAGGTAATAGACAATAATACATCAAACAAATTCTACAAATTTTACAAATTCATTCGCAATTTTTGTTGAGCGTGAGATTACCTCAGGGCGCTGCTCAAGACGGACGAGTATACTCTATCAGCTTGAGGAAACACCTTAAATCCAAAAGCATCATAAAATGTCAATAATAAGCATTAAAAATCAAGTTCATGAGTTCAATAACACAAAAGAAAGAAAAAAAAAAAAAACTCAAATCGCAGGGGAGGACTACCTTCGCAGGCTCCCGTTTCTTAGAAACTGCGCGGACTTTGAAAGCGCTTCTTCGCAGTCCTCCTATCCAAAAATCAAGAAGAAAAAACATCCAGAAATTCAGAAGACGGATAGCGCGACAGAAATTGATCGAGAAAAGAAAATGCGACAGTCTATCAACGGATTTACTTATCAGCGTACCGATTACTCGTCGCCGTGCAGATACGGAGGTGAATTAGCCGCGTTGATAAAGGGCTTTGGCACTGTGACGAATGTAGAGGCATCGCCATGAATCTAGTCGAAGAAGCAAAGTTGTAGGGAGTCGAATGAGGTGGGCGGGAGAAACGTTTTAAAGAGGGAAGAGAAATTCCAACGAAAGTGCAACTATGAATTGAACCAAAAAATCAAGTCGGAATGAATTTATACAAAATGTTCAAAGGGCGGCATACCCGTTTGAAAAACCAAAATAGTATTTTTCTTTTTTAACTAAATAAAAATAACCCTAAGTTTTTTTATTTAATCTTTAAAAAAAATTATAACATTTAATTTAATTTAATGAATTTTTATAAAAAAATTCCATTAATATCTTTTTTTTACTTTTTAAAAAAAATAAAAAAATACTTTTTAAAAAAATACTCATAAAAAAACTAACCATAAATCTTCGTAGATTATCTCTAAACTCTTAAAAGTTTATGAATATTTTTAAAACATTGTACTAATTATAAATATATTAATTATTTTAAAAATATTTAAGACTATTCATCGACTCAATGATATCTTTGAAATATTTTTTAAACAAACTATTAAGGGTTACTTCAAAAAAATTTAAACTTTGAAGAATGTTTTTTTCTTTTAATTTTTGAAAGATTAAAAATATTATTAAAATTTTAAAAAGCTTCCAATATAATAAGAATATTAGATCTCAATTTTACAAAAAAAAAAAAAAACGTACTCAAAGTTTGAATATAAACTCTCGTGTTTTTGCTTTTAGTTTCTCGAAAGATCTCATACAAATAGAGAATCAGTCAAGTCCCCCGGGACTTGACTGATTCCCTAGAGCTGTTGAACAAAATACATCATTTATTCGACACTTGAGAATTCTATTGATATTACTAAGCAAAATCATGAGAGTTTGAATATAAACTCGTGTTTTTGATATTGTTTATTTTTAATATAAACTCTCATGATTTTGCTTTTGGTTTCTCAAAAGGCATTGTCCGGAGGAGTGTTCGTTATTTATGAACTCATAATCATTTCCTTAATAAGCCAACGTGAGACTCATCCCAACAATCCTCAACACTAATATATGATTATTTCTTATAATTGTTCGATAGAAGTTCAAAATCTATAGAATCATTGACACGACAAGAGGATTATGGGTGAGTTTCAAAGATTCATTCCTAATCTTCCAACCAAGCAGAAGGCTTATGTAATCGCCAACAAATTGGATCCGATTTTCCTCCACGTTATGTCTTCTGAATCTCATCATTGAACTTTATCATATGAACATGGCCAAATCTCCGGTTGTCCACAAGCAACCACCATTTCTTTCTTTTTCCCATCACTCAATTTCAATTCCTCCTATATAAACCCACACTAAACTGTGAGATCTCCGCCGCGAAAGATAAATAATTAAAATGAGTTGTAACTATCCGTTTCATCGTGCTAGCATCTTCCTATTTGTCGCCTTGTATCTCAACTCCACTGCGGCAAACGACGTCGTTGCACGAAACTGTGAGATCTTCGCCGCGAAAGATCCAAACGTCCATCTCGACTTCTGTCTCCGATCTCTCGCAGCCGCTCCCGCGAGCGACATGGCGGACCTGTACGAACTCGGTGCGATCTCGATCGAGTTGATCGGAAGGAACGCGACCAGTACGCGGCGGTACATCGAGCGCTTACTGAAGAAGAATAAGAAGAAGAAGAATCCGTCGCTGGATTCTTACGTGAGGCCGCGGCTGAGCGATTGTAGAGAGCTCTACTCCGACGTCAAAGCAACGGTGCGCGATGCGGCGGCGGACTACGCATCGAAGCGCTATGAAGAGGTGAACGTGAAGTTGAGTTCGGTTATGGATGCGGTTACGACTTGTGAGGACGGCTTCAAGGAAATGGACGGCGGAGTTTCGCCATTGACGAAGCGGAATGACGATGCGTTCGAGTTAACCGCCATTGCGCTCTGTATTCTCAACATGCGTCCTTGAACAGTTTCGCCATTGTGGTTTGTAGAGTGCGATTGAGAATTTTAAATTTCATTTCATGAATTTAAGAACTGGAATATCTTAAATAAATTAATAAATATTTGTGTGTGTGTAATTTGTATTTTATTCCAACGATAATAATACTCATCAAAATATAACTTTAAATTTTTTTATTTTAGTTAGTGAATTTTTAAAACTAAACATTATAATTTATAACTTTTAGATATTTGACAACATTCTCAATCACAATCATCAAATAATCAAATAATAATCTAGACCAAACAACTCGATCACAAGTCGCACCCGAAACTCGATCAAAATTGTATCTAACAAATCAAAGTGAACATAACAACAATCATTAACATATATTCTTTTGTTGAGATTGAATATTCAAATTCTCGTACTTCACTTATTGTACTGCAAAAGTACAACGTAAACCAGCATAACTTGTCATTAATTGACGCAATCTGTTTACCTAAACAAGCAAAACTTGCCCTTAATTGACATAAACTCTTTTCCTTGAGGTCGAAGATTGAAGATTCAAGCTGATACAAAAGTGTAGACCTATACACATAAACACATCCAACTAGGGAAGCAATTCATTACAAGTTCCATACAAAATGAAATAAGTTAAACATTTCAAGCAAGCGTCATCCAATTGGTTTACATGCATAAACATTGCAATACAATCCATTCCAATGACGATGCTTCAAAGCAAAAACTACCAAAACTACCAATAGCAGAAAACAAATCATCCTCGGTTAAATTATAAATTTAGTCTAATAGGTCTGTTAAAGAGTTGGTAATGGACTCTTAAAGTTTACTTTTATGTCCAATAAGTCTCTCAACTTTCAATTACGTGCCGAATAAGTTCCTAACCATGGGACATTTTTTTAAACTACGAATCTATTAGACGCCGCTCTTAATGTTCAAGGATCTACTAAGGAACTTTTTACAATTAAGAGACAACTCAAACATAGAAACCAGAAAGTTCATAAATCGAACTCGTAATTTAACCTATATTAAAGTAGAGAAGATCAAGCTTCGAAGGCAAGGTAAGAAGTATCAACAGCACAAGGCAAGCTATGGAGTATTAAAGAAACAATTTGATTTTCCAAGAGATTCAGAGCAATGGTTTCTAGCCTCCTCTTAGTCAAAGGGCAAAACATATCAACTCTCAACAAGAAACAATAAATTTGCCTGGCCAGAATGTATTATGTTCCATGCAGTTACAATTATTTTCGATCACAGAGTAAGGATATCAACTCTCAACAAGAACCCAAGAACGGTCAAAACAACAATGTTGAGATGAAAATTCTTTCACTGAATAACAAAATAGAACTAGAGAGAGAGAGAGAGAGAGAGAGAGATGCAAATACTTTGTCAACTAGACATTGGATGGTTGTAAACGTACTCGATTGCGAGATCACAGGAATCTATTTTATCGGCCTCCTTGTCTGGTATCTCTAGCTTGAACTCCTCTTCCAGACCCATTACAATCTCCACAGTGTCCAAGCTGTCTAAACCCAAATCTTTTTGGAAATGAACATCAGGGCTCACCTGCAGATAAACAAGCAACAATTCAGCCAAGCTTTAATTGAAGTTGAATAGGAAAGAGATGCTGCTTGGAAGTGACCATAAAACAATGAGAGAATAGATGTCACGGTTGATAGTGATACGTAACGGACTAAAATGGACAATATCTACCGGTGGTGGGCATTTGTTCTTTTTATCTTAAAAGGGTGTGTTTTTTTTTTTTTTTTTTTAATCTTTAATGGAGAAATTGATATGAACATTATGTTTATGTTGGTTAAGGTAGGATGTCTACGACATGTTTTTAACGACCATTGAGTGGTTTGTCTTCTAATGTTAATGTTCATGTTTTGATATATATAGGTTAAGTTACGGATTTGGTCTTTATGGTTTGGTTAAAATAGTTTAAATTTGATTGGTTTGATCTTAGGAGTTTTAATTCAATAGATATGGCTAGAGCATGGTTTAAATTTGATTCTATGACTTGAATTCGGTTTCTAAAATTACAATAACAATTTTTTTAAGGTGAGGAGTCAACGTTCTAAGTTTCTAACTATTTGGCTGAGAGTATATGTTTTAAAGAGCTAAACAATAATGAGATTACCAAAGATGAATGATTAGGTTCGAGATTGTGGTGTTGGGGAATTTTCTATTGATGTGAACCAAATGTTTTTGTGTGTGTTGAAATGTATGCCATATTGTCCATTTTAGCTGGCCTCGATCGACTCTAACCATCGAGTTTGGCTCGAAAACGTACGTAATATTAGCTATAGCATAGCCTGGTTTTCGGGAATATGTTAAGAATGCAACACAGGTCATGAGGAGGTAAATCTCAATCCACGCCAGAGTTCTTAAAATGTGCACGAAATCATTAAGTATAGAAGTCAATTGTTAGCACTAGTGAACCGAACCAAGCAACCCATATAAATGAAGGGAAGATATTGTGTGCAATACAGCAATCAACCAAAACTCGAAAGAAGAAAAAATTCCAGAAATACCGAATCAAGTATGAAAATGGAATGACATTACAGCATAAATTATTAAGAGCCACTTTCTAGGTTAATGCTCTATCAGGGAATAAATCGTCGCGACTTTCTACCAATCAGTAAAGAGAAAATCACAGAGAATCTCAATTACGAATTCGCAGAGACAAAGCATGGGAAATTGAATCAAGCAAACGATTCAGATTTCACCGGAAATAAGTTCAAACCCTAAAAACCGATCGCATATCAGAACAAGAAATGATTGAATCGGCATATTAAGATTTTCTACACTTCCAACCTATTCTTCCCGCATTTACTAAATCGACAAACATCGTTTCAAACGAGTCGAAAAACCAACTCAATCAGCTAAAAAAACAAGTGAAAAAAAGGAGGGATAAGATCGAATCACCTTGGACGGATCGACTTTCGGATGACACTTGATAACCGAGAGAACTCTCTCAATAACCTCCTCCTTGGTTATGTGATCATCATGCGATGAAAACAGCCGGACCGATCCACTGGAACACGACGGAGGCTGGCTTCCCCGGCGAGGTAGGGCAAAGAATTGGACTGGAACTCGAACATGGCGAAGAACGGCTGCCCTCAGCGCCATTTCTCTCTATGCGGTGACTTAATCGCTCGAACTAGGAACTGATTAATTATCCATTACAGAATACGA